GGACTTGCAAACATCTCTTAATTCTCAAATAAAAGGAGGGCTAATGATTATTAATCAGCACATTAATTTGGTTCAAGAGCAGTTGGATACCTTATGGCAGGTAGCACAATTAGGTTGTGAATGAAAAATGCCAGGACTGTGCGTCACATCTGTCCAATATACTAATTATACTCGAGCTGCAGAGCTGGCGAGGTCCCTGTCCGCTTATCTTTTCCAGAACTGGTCCCTGGAATTTGAAGACACTTTGAAAGAATTGAGGTTGGCCGTGGTGAACGTGAATTCTACCCGGGTTGATCTCTCCCTTGCCACAGGACTGTCATCGTGGCTGGACTCCGCCATGGACCATCTAAAAGAATGGGCAGACTTGGGGGCGCTGACAGGCCTCTTGATCTTGGTCTCCCTGATATGCCTGTGGTGCATATATAAGATCAGAGTCACACAAAAACGGGATGCAGCCATGATTGCTCAAGCCTTTATAGCCATTGAAGTCTCCCCAGGTCTGGTTGACCGCTATTAAAAGTTAAAGTGATATTTCTCCCAACCGGGGTGCAAGGCCGAGCACTGCACGGGGATCTGCTTGTGTGCAGTTAAGCAATCCCCAGGGAGCATGTCTGATTGCAGGAAGGTTGTACCCTAAATCCTTCCCCTAGAAAAAGGGGTACCGGACGGGCCAGGGTCACAACGGGCAGAGAGCCCCTGGTTGATTCCAGCGCAATGTTCCATGATTTGCATACCAGGGATCAGACCTCTGCTCTCACCCATGTTGTTTTTAAAAATAAATAAGGGGGAACTGTGGAGAGCTGCACTTTGTCGGCCCAAAAGATGGCGCTGGCTTCTGCCTTCTACCATTCCGAGGGTGAGAGCTCTTTGTGTTGGACAACTTCTTATCTGGCTAAGGCTGGGCTTCAGGCCTGCTTCCGTGTATGTGGACCCTTCTGCTTTCGCCACGTGGCTGTCTGGGGTGGGCTGCCAAGGGCGCTTTTAAGCAGAGGGTCAGGTTTCCTCGGGGCCTCCAGAAGAAGATTGTACAAGGCTCCTGAAATAAACTGCAGGAAGAAGAGTTCTCGAGTTGTGTCTTTCTTGCTGGTCAAGACAGGCACAGCAGAAGATGAACATTTGTTTCTCCAATTGATAATAGACTCAAATGGGGGTACTTAAGAGAAGCAGGATGTTGTCTGAAAGCCAGAAAAGAACCATGTGAGACCTACAAGAATCGTCCTTGTCCAGTTCTCATTAATCACGAATGGGATTGAGCTCTTGCTTTGCCTTTCCTTCTGACACAGACACAATGTCAGTCCTACAATAAGATAAAGAGTTACAGTAATATTTAAATTAGAAGACTCCAGAAGCTTCTAAGGGATCAATATTGAACAATCTAGGCATGCTACCATGTATATCTGTGCACCCTGAACTAGAGTTTTGAGTAGCTGTGGGTGCTGTGAATTGAAACCAAGCCTTCTGCAAAAAAAGCAAGTCAACAAGTGATCTTAACAACATATCTCTCTAGCCCCTAGGATTGTCTTTAATCTTCAACAAATGAAAACTTTTAATTATTTTTCATCAGTAACAAGAACACCCAAAGTCTTGTTTTCTTTGTCGTTATAGGAAAATTATGTTTGTCATGTGTAAGTGCACAGGGAAATTCCAATTTTTTTCAGACTGTTTCATACAGAGATGGTATTATGTGTCTGGGTTATATTAAAAAGCTGGTAATTATGAATTAAATAAATGTAATGATGTTTAAGTCATTTCATTTTAATGTGCATTTATTTAACTTTAAGACTGGATGATGAAAACATTGAGAATTCAGTGTAAGAACATTGAACTTGATTAGCCTCTCTTTAGATGTCACTGTTACTTACCTTGGAGTAGGCCTGGGGCTTTTTCATGGCCATGACACAACCACAGTTGGTAGTCTTGAGCTCTCTGGGAGACAGAAACAACCAACCATCACACATAATCCTTTACAGAGCACTCTTGAAGACTACTTTTCCTTACCATCCCAAGTTCTCTAGCAGCAAAATTATTAGGAACAGTGTTAATGGTGTGTCTTCTGACTACAGGTTTGAGTCATCTGGGATGATTTCAGGAGAGAACACTTGGGTACTTGCCTTCCCTTTCTGATGGAGCCTAAGTCTTTTGATCCACAGTATGATCTGAATAACCATGAGATTACAAAATTACATTCACCCTTCCAAGATCTGTTACATCTATTTATGCACTGTGTGTGGAATATTGAACTTTGACTTGAAATTCCCAACAATATAGTACCCAGAGAGCCATACACCCTCAGTGCCTATGACAGCTTGTACAAACTATCATTTGAAAGATATAGTAACTTTAGCAACACTGGGTAAAATAATCCAAAAAACAGATAGGCTTTGAGGATGCTTAGGAGTAAAAGCAGCTTTTGGCTTTCATTTAGAAATGTCCAGTCTGTGGAGAGGAAGGACATGTGTCTAACATAGAAAATAGGCCAGATGCTGAAAAGAAGTTCCACAACCAGTTACTGCAATGGTGCTATGGATCCATTGGAAACAACAATCTAGTGTTGTAATATTTAGCACCCTACAGGAGTGAGTAAATAAAAAATATGCTTTACCTGGAATTATTATTACTTGTAATGTTTTGTTGATTTCTGATTTAAAAGAATGGCCTGTAGAACTCTTAATTATTAAAACTAGCAGACATACACATTTAGGCAGACAAACATAGCACTACTGCACTCCAAACACACACAGTTGGAGAGAGAGGAAGAGAGAGGGACATAGACACACACAGAGAGACATACAGAGAGAAATCAAGTCTACCCACAGAGGGTGATAGAGAGTGATATGTACACATAAAGAGAAACATGCTCAAAAGAGCCATACACAGAGACACATATTTAAACACAAAGGGACAGCTATAAACAGATATGAATGCAGAGATAAAAAGAACAGAGACAGAAATAGACAGACAATATACATAAAGATTAAAAGGGAAAGAATACACCCAAACACATACATCTATACCTCCATGCACACAGAAATGAAAATAGAAGGAATGGGAGTTGAGGAGGAACTATATGCCAAATAGGAAATATAATATAATCAAAATAGAAAAGAAAAAAGAAGAAAAACCACATTCCCTAGAAGATTGGCAACTTTTCAATCTGTTATGCATATGACTAAAATTTTAATTACAGTGAGACTAAAAGCAAAGCTCAAATACCATTGCTCTATTAGTGTCATTTTACATGAACCTCACACAAATCTTCAAGAAAATGTCCCTCTAAAATATATCATATTTTAGATGACTCCGTTTCAAAAAGTGATAGTAAAATATGATTTGCAAATTTATCATGATCAAGTGTCTTCTGTATATATCTATATGTACATTTTCACATATGTTGATCTCAAAAACAAAGCTCAAATTGAACTCAAAGTAGCTAGAAGTAAATTACAGGCATTCTTATCATAGGTAGTAACTTCTTGATAATATCATTCACTGTCTCCAAGTCTGTTGTTACATACAAAGGCCATAAAAAGTGCTGAGAAAAAAATGCTATACAATAATGTAAAAGCACATGATTGAAAAATTAATTACTGTCTAACCATCACTCATACAAGGTGTAATGGCAATTCTAATGTATAAGTATCTTGTTTGCTTCCCTTTATATGACATAACCCTGAAAGACTGTTAGTCTAACCTATTTACTGGGTACTCAAACATAACAGGTAATTGGGTTTTTGTTGTAGTTGTTGTTCTAAGATAAATGGAGACGGAGGAGCCATGGATGCTTTAGCTCAGCACTTTGAATTTTCTTTCTTTATGGGGGCAGAGAATTAAAAAGAGAGCTGAGCCCCTTCCTCCTGCCCCAGCTGTGCTTCCATCATGTAACAACCTTATTTTCATGCACAACATTTTGGTCAGGTCTAGGAAAATCAGGATAAGAACTGGCTGCAATGTGTTTGGTAATACCAATATGGATGATCACTTTCTCCCTATCAGGCTCTGTAAATAGACAGTATTCATGTAGAAATCTGTTGATGTAATAGATCTAGAAATCCAAAACAAATAATTTAGAAATGAAACTCCATCTCTTAATACTCTTAAGAACAAACAAGTTGCTTAAGAATTAGCTTTCTGTTGTCTCTCATTACACGTTTAGAATCTGCTCCAGAGACCTAGGAAGACAGTGTGTGGAAAACAGCATGAAACCAACTGATAGGAATCTGTGTTGATACCACTGATGTATTGGAATTCTAATACATCAACCATAGAATATGACAATGAGTAGGTAGGTATATTTTATGCACACTGATTCTATAACATCAAATGTATCCTCAATGAAGGTTGTAAGACTCTAGGAAACAGTTCTTTAAAAGAGAAAAGCAGCACTAGTGCCATCCTTAACAGAAACACTGAAGCAAAACAAAAGGAAACCAGTTCATAAGCCACCTCTTTGAAGGCATTTTTATTTATCATCCTTTAACTGCCAGGCATAACCAATTACCTAGAAAATAAAATGTATGCACAGTGCTGAAGACTGATGCCAGATCCTACCAGGTAGGATGCCAGGTAAATTGAATTTTATGGACAAATACTCTTACACTCACTGATTTCATATCTTACTAACCATAGGCTAAGAATTATGGAAAAGCATCTCAAAGTCTGAAAGCGGAGCTCTGTTCTCGTGGTACTAATGTAACTAGGAAGGATCAATGTGTTTTTTCTCAATGTGGAATTAATCATCTCTTAACAGAAAGTAGCTCAGGGCTCACAAAACATACAGGATGGGAGGAACTAGACAACCAACTCTTGCAAGTTTTCTTCTTGACTCAATATTGGCACTTTAACACACATGCACACATTAGAACACCACACACCCACTCACCACCCCCCCAAACACACAGAGACAGAGAGAAATACTTTTTAAAATAGTAAAGCTTCTAATATTTTGTTGAATGTGTGAAAACTCTTCTCTATAATTTTAAAACAAGTATTTTTTACGGATAAAAATGTGTGATCGGCTAATAGTATTTTAACTCACATCATTGTAAGATATTTTATTTTCAAAGCATTTGGAACATATTTAAATAATGATTGTAGGGATGTATACGTTTATTCCTGGTGGTGAATTTCTTTATAAAACAGTCACCTTTCAAGAGACACATTGTTGATATCTGGCTTCTCCCTCTCCCTGTGTCCTGGGGCAATCTAGCCCTGTTCCTGCTCCTGACTCCTCTCCTTCTCCTGTGCTGGTAGTTTCTCCTCAGCACCAGCCTGTCACTCCTCACCTTCTGTATCCTGGGTCTGCACCTTCTCCTTAGGGAACCTTTCCTAATTAAGGGACCCCTCTAATCCTTGGGTTCCTTTCCTGCCCTGGGATTGCTCTTCTTCTAGTTACCTTCCCTCACTCTGGGATCTGTCTGTCTTCACAGGGTGGTCACTCCTTGCTGTGCTCCTTGTTGATATCCTGGCATTACGATGCAGCTCAAAGGGCCCTGTGTTGCATGGCATCGTGCATGCATGCATTAAGTGGCTGCAACTCTGTACACAGAAGCCATGAGGAGCTGGGGCCACACAGAGCTGGGCCAACAGCAGCTCCATGACTCCAGTTTCAAGGGCCCCAACTGTTGAGCCTCCTCCTTTTTTTTCTTTTCTTTTTCTTTTTTTTTTTTTTTTTTTTTTTTTTTTCAAGACAGGGTTTCTCTGTGTAGCTTTGGAGCCTATCCTGGCCTATTCTATATAGCCTATCCTATCTCACTCTGGAGACTAGGCTGGCCTCGAACTCACAAAGATTCGCCTGTCTCTGCCTCCTGAGTGTTGGGATTAAAGGCGTGGGCCACCAACGCCCAGCTAACTGAGCCTCCTAAACTGCTCCCCTTCCCTTTTAAGCAAGCACCTCTGCCTGTTCTTTCTCTTTCCATTTCCGCTCCAGGTTGGTGAACACTTACCTCTCCTTTCTCTCCCTTTCCTAATAAACTCCACGTGGGTTTGTTGAGTTTGGTGGTTCCTGTTTCATTGCCAGAAGCTGCAGCAGAGAACACAGAGTTTTTTTATTTTCCATTTTAAAAAATTTTTAATTTCATTTTACATTCTAACCACAGTTCTCCCTCCCACCCCTCCTCTCACCCACCTCTCCTCCCACCCACCCCTTGCCTCCCTCAACCCCCTCACCTCCCCCCTAGCCCATCCCCTCTACACTACTCAAGGGTAAGGGCTCCCATGAGGAGTCAACATAGTCTAGCACAATAGATGGGGCAGAGCCCAGCCCCTCTCCCATGCCTTAAGAGGGAGCATGGCATCCCACCATGTGGAGTAGGCTCCAACAAGCTAGCTTTTGTACCAGGATAATATCATGTTCCTACTGCCACTAAGAATGGCATCCCACCCTAAGGATATTCAAAGTATGTATTTCTTTAAGTGAATATTACTTTGTCTAAAACATGTTATATATTTTAAAAATATACACAGAAACCCCAATGATTTTATTTAGGTTTAAGATCCCTATGAATCAAAGAGTCAAAGAGAGACAACAGTTAATGGTTGTCCTTGCACTTGTAAAGATATGTTAAACATAATATCAACTCAGTTTCATGATAAATTCAAAAGTAAAGGGTCATGTTTGGAAAGTCATTCCTGTCTAATCTGAATTGATGTTAAAATACTGGGAAATAGTTTCTAAAGAACACAATATGTGTTGGGAACCATAGCAATTTGCTGAAAACCAGAGTGTTCTTATATTTTTTGGGTTGAAATCTGACTGGTTTCCAACAAACCTTTGTGGTCATAATGGGCAAAGCAATTAGAAGAAGCAGAAAATAGCCATCTCTCATAAGATGGACAGATAATTTTGTGGATGTAGAGACACTATTCTCCAGTGTACCCTACAATATACCTCCCCTGACATGGTAGCTGTATTTATTTAAGGATTGGTA